TTACTTCGACTTGCGACCAACTTGACTTGCGATCAGAGTCACGGAACGGATTAAGTTCGTAAGTAGAGGTACCACTTCTACTTGATCCCACGTCAGGCTCTGCATTACCTGTTCAGAAAGTAATCACTAAAACCACAACCTTTGCTAGTAGAAGTCTCTCTCTCTCGAACACCACTTCAGGTAACATCTTATAAAAGTCAAGGTAGGCTAAAGAGCCCAACAACAGTTCCCTTGTCTCGTTACTCTACAAGCTACTACAAAAGAGAATGCCAAACACTGAAACTGGTTCTTAACAGTTCTTGGAATGACATGTTATTGTTCATTTATTTTAACAGCTTTTAAGGATAGACTCAGAATTATTTATTAACCAAATCAAGCATTGGGACTTGTAAGAATCTATGTTTTTGTTCTGCGTCTTAGGGGTGGAATTTACTCATTCAGATACAATATTAGCGTTATACAAACCATCTGGGCCTAAGGCTGCCAACAATGATCTAAAAAAGGGATGGATCCACAAAATACAAACATTCAAAAATTTGTTCAAATTTCACTCTTTTTACATTTTCTACAGTGCTTTGTGCAATCAGAAAAATGTGTTTACTTGTATTGGTCTGCTTACAGAAAGTATTGTATTTATGATATATCCTTAACATTTTATGAATACATAATGCTGTTTATCAAATTCTTGTTTATGCTTTAGCTAATAAAACAGTGACAATAGCTAGGTAGTAATTGTTATAAAAATAATATTGAACCTATATTTCCTGACATTCGTGGAAAGATTGCATGATTCTTTCCAGATACATTGTTGAATCTGAAAACGAGCAGAGTCACAGTGCATGGTAATACCTACAATGTGCAAAAACAGCAGCAAATGAGCTGGAATATGCACTGAACTTACCTTAGGAAATTGCTTTACTGGAATTAATACTTTTTGCCCCAGTTTCATGTTTTTATTAATCACTACATCAATGTATTTTTCATCTTCTTTGCCTTCTCCTTTCTGGAATTTATCAATTTCTGTAACAGGAAATACAAAACTTACTTTAGAATTAGTTTTCCTAAACAACCGCAAACATATCTTCCTTTAAAACAACCAATACTTCATTAGGGCAATTCATCTTCCACCCAAGTTTAGATGAGACAACAGAAGAAACCTGGATCTAATCTAATGAACTGAACTTCCATAACTACTAGATCCAGCCCAAGAACCATACTGGGTAATGAATCTTGCATTCTAAAATTTATGCTGTATGAAAGTCTTTGTTTTGCCTGATTCTATTTTTCCCGTCCACCCTAGGAAACAGGAAACCTTTTCTGTGGACCACACATAACTTTTGCCTAAGGATATTCCAGACTCCCCTTATTCCCAATTCTTTATTAAATCTCAAAATTCCTCCTTTTCGACGCTGATACATTTATCTAAAAGACAGAATATTCCATCTAAGGAAGGCAGCCTTAGAAATGCATTTTATACCAGTGAACATTTGCACATAGCAATGTCTTCCATTTATAACACACAATGCCATATATATTTAGCCTCCTGGAGCCGACACACAAATTTAATAAATTATTATTATCGAAGTGTTGCACGCACATTTTTATGTACATATTTTCTGCAAATATTATATAAAACAGACGGGTATTATCCTCCCACATCACAGAGTGATGGTTGGGCAGAAGAACTTTGATGGTAGTCTCAAAATATACAGCTAAAAAGCATTGGTCAGAGTTTATAACTATTTGTTTCAAGTCTGAATTTGTTGATGTAACAGTCAGATTCTCCTAAAAATTAAATCACCCCCCCAACCATCATATATTTAATAAAGAGCCATACTTTAAAAATAGAACAGGTGGGTATACAAATAAAGTTACATGCAACCCAGAAGTGTAAACTCCTGCTGTTTGATTCATTATCAAGTAATTTTTATAAGAAACTTTTTTTAAACTGATTTAATTTCTTACATTACAAGAAGAAACAAATTCAAGGAGTGTCCAGCAACTTAAAAACAGATCTTATGAAAATGAGGTTATTTTACTTGCTAGGCCAACGATCTATTCCGAGGATCATTCCTCTCTTATCTTGAACTGATTATGTTTCCACCCAATTAGTAATAGAAATATATTCTGCTCTTGTTGGGTGATTTGCCTGTATGAAGATTAACAAGTTAATATTCAGACATTCTATACAATCATGGAGATAATTTGCCTGTATGCAGATTATCAAGTTAATATTCAGACATTCTATACAATCATGGAGAGAAAACTTCATTTCCCCATTAATGTTGGCTGGAATACCAAGGGATATAGCCCTAATATATCTGGAGGGTACCAATTCTGGGAAGGCGGAGCTAAAGGACAATTATGGGATCCTGCTTCTAGAGGGTTGTCCTTGGTGACCTGTAAGATCTTTCAAGATTTTATCCCATGAAATAATTGTTCTTTAGCTGGTTCACACAACCCAAACTACACCAAGATTCTCTAAACAGCCATAAAGAGTTCATCTAGCATTTTATTAATGGTTGAAAGGAACCTGGGTCAAATCCTGCTCAATTCCATAAAGAGGAGTAGTTGCAAATCAGAAATCACAAACTCCTCATTCTCACTAGCTGGAGAATCCAGACACACAGGTTAGGTCCTTATTATCACAAAATAAATGCAAGGACATGGCAAGTTACCCCATTCATATTCACTCCTGCTTTAAGGAAGAGTAAAACTGGATGATATCAATATAATCCCCAAACCCACTAGTGGGCTATTTTCAAATACAGCACACTGATTTAGTTGCAGATAGCTGGGCAAGACTGACGAGGAAATCTAATCAGATTTCCAAAGTCAAATGAGTAGGATTTGTCTTCTTTAATCGCTAGATTACATACTGCACTACTAGTAGGCTTTGTGTTCTGATGTAGTCTCCTAGCTCAGAAATAATGGATGAGCATGTGATTAAGGTCTTTTTATAATGCTAAGGATTAAAATCCCATGTTCCCAGATCATGGACACAATGCCCAGAAATTCAGGTCAAATAAAGGAATTACTGAATGCTATGCATAACACAATAGGCTAAGCAAGGGTTGTTTACGTAATAAACCCATACTGCAGACCACAGTATCACTGGTTGCATTTGGATAATGGAAAAGAGGACTTCTTTCACTAACCTCAAAGAATTAATCTTTTTGTGAGAGGACCATAAATGTGAGCCTTGCTATCTTTATTAATGCTCCATGCAACAGAACTTCACCGTATTAAAGTGAGGCCTTTAAAGTGATTGTCTCCATCAATAACTAAGGTGAAACAGTGGAACCACAGATTTTAGTAAACATTAAGTATATAAACCGCAAGCCCTTTAGTGGTTAGCTTCATCACACAGACTTGGCAAAGAACGAAGGTCCAGAGGCAAAATATTCTAACTATGTGTTGTAACAAAGATTTCTTGAGACCTTTCTATATGTTCTACAGGCATTTTTGTTAATATAGTAAATGCAAACAGAGAGTTTCCCTTAATCTGAAAAGCATGTTACTCTAATGAAACTTTTGCTTAAGACATTAATTTCAACATCCCAACAGATTTGTAAAATTACTTTTTCTATTTTCAAGGATTTGTAGTGGATAGGATAAACAGCTGCTTAAAGTTCATTCAAAGAGCTTTCACGGTGCATTAACCCCTCAACCTGTGGCTATCTAGCAATATCTCTTGAGTCTCTAATCTAATTCAAACACAATTATTTGTATGTGGAAAGTGATTGGTTTATGGGGGAAACGTTATGCCATTATCTTGGGATTCTAGGTACTTTATAGAAGTAAATACTGAATGAACTGATAATAAAAATGCCAAATCTGGACCAAGCAATCTAAAATGGAAAAATAAGTTTGGAAATATTTGAATTTATTAAGCTCAGGTACAAGAACTTAAAATGATAAAACTCTTATTATGAGGTACTGTTTACTGAGGACAGATAACATGAGAAAATAAGAATCTCAATGAGTTTTGAACCCAGTGAGGTGAACTCCTGATGCCTACATAAACAGTTCATATAATTTTCTCTGAAGGAATACAGAATCTTCTTCTGAGATTCTTTTAAACTTCTCGGCTAACTTTTCCCACCAAACCAGGTCTTCCTCTTCATCTTACAGTCACGTATGATCCAACTACAGCGCTTTTTCTTCCACAATTCAAATGCCATTTGTTCTCATGCTCTTTCAGTCTGATTTTCCCGTTGCCTGATCCGTGTCCTTTCAACAAAGTCTTCTCCAATCAGTACACCCTTCCATTGAGTAAGTATCAACATTAGCTATATTGGGTGGGAATTCTGGGAGCTGAGAATTCACACACCTGGAGGGTGCTTAAGTTGGGAGAAGGATGATTTAACGAATAAGTAATCTTCATTGCAATATTTTACACTCCATTATTTCTCTAGAAAACTTAGACAGTTTTCTGTCTAAAACTATGAAATCAATTGTAAAATATATTCCCTGAAAGATTATGGCACCACTCTAGACCTCTACAGACTGTACTTGTTGTCTTCACCTGATATCCTTATTATCCTTTGCTTTTAACTCGGCTTCCATTCTGTAAGGATCATTTCAGCTCTCATTAAATGTTGTGACAGAGGAAGCTTCTAATTTAGATGGGAATATCAGTGAATGTCTCCTCTCTGTTCCCTCCCAGTCATAGCCAATGAAACTAAAATGACTCTGGGAAGAAACTTATCACTGTTTTAATAGGAAACAGTGTACATTCTTCACTCCAACTCTGACCCTAGTAGCTGGTGAATCTATCAATGGAATAGGAAGGAGCATAAAATGAGGGAAGTTAAAGAACATAATTCCTTGATTCTTTGCTAAGCAAATGGATGAAAAAGAACAAGGGTATTATTCCAGACAGTGAGAGTATTATTTTACCTATATAAATCTGACTCATGAAAAAATATACTGATAAATGTCTGATACAAGAATATTTTATTGTCTGGAACAAAAAATAGTATTTCAGGTTCATCTGCTCATAAATATTTCTCAAGTATATTATTACTTGTATTATCAGATTAGGAAGAACATAAAAGGGAACTTATGTTGAAGTCATTTCATCTTCCTGAAATGAATACCAGTTCTTCCTTACTTGTGTGTGATTCAGCTTGACCATCCAGGCAATGCTTTATAAGATGTAAAATAGAAATATTTGATCATGTGAATGCTGTACCTTGTTAATCAATATGGCAAACTTTGGATAATATTTTTTGCTTAATTTAACCTGTAACAGAATTGTGGGTAGGTACAAAGATAGGAAGGAAGGAAGGAAGGAAGGAAGGAAGGAAGGAAGGAAGGAAGGAAGGAAGGAAGGAAGGAAGGTTGGTTTTGCATCAGAGAATTGTTTAATTGACATTAAATCATTTGAGTCCAAGAGAGATGTATGTCACAAGAGATGTTTCATGGTATACTTCAAAAACTCTGGCTATCCTGTAAACTAATGACTTAACATTAAATATACTAATATTTAATTAATATAAATATATAAATACAAATATATATTAATATATTTAATATAAATAT